CCCCCCCCCCTCAGAAAATCGATTTTTTCCAAACAATATCGAAATTGAGTTTTTACCACAGGAAGATAGAGCGAAGCTTCCTCTTTCAGAATATATATAGATTTTTGGAAAATGATCCGTTTTTCAAAGACTTGTCAAATCAGACTTTAACTTCCTTACCATAATTTTCGTGGTTTTTTAAAGTTTTTCTGTTTTGGAAAAACTCCGTTATTACTTCAATTATCATTGAATAAAACATTTTGATATTAACCCGCATGTCAGATGGCGTTAGTTTTACTGCATCTTTTACGCGCCTTAAAATAGTTTTAGAAAATATGCCATTTTAATATGAGTTTTTTGAATTTGACCGAAAAAAACCACTTCTAAAACTTTTTTAATGTTTTTCTCAGAACATGATTTCCAATCAGAAAAATTGGAACTCCTCCCTCATTTTTCGAGCTATTATCAATATTTGTTTTTTGTTTTAAAGGTCTTGATCAGAGTAAACTTTTGTCCGAACGGATTTTTGAAAGTTGGTTCCTGGGCTGAGAAAAGTAGAATTTACTGTCGTTGGACTACCATTTTTTATGCTAATTTTGAGACCCTCGCACTAAAATGCTCATAAAAAACAAATAGGACGGAATATCAAAATTCTGTTCGGACAAAAGTTGCATACTGACATGTATTTTAATTTGAAACTAGCCCGAGCTCTCTACCTCTTCTCATGACGCAGTTATACCAATTCTCCTGAAGGCCAAAAATGACTCATGAATCAGCTGGAAATCTTGTCTAGTATGACCAATCGAGCTGAAATTTTTACCAGAAGTATATCTCACCAAGATCAGTCATCCCTGAAAATTTCAGCATGAAAAGACCGTCAAAAGTGGAAAATCGTTTCTGAGGGGGGGGGGGTCCCCTTAAATCATTACCATCAATTATTGGTACAAGAGGAGCGAAAAAACACAAATTAAGTTCTTCTAAATTTGACATTTTTTGTAAAAGTGGAATAAGAAATTCCTTATACTTCCCCAAATCATCTTCATGAATTAATGAAAAATATTTTAAGTTAGGTACTTTCTGTTAAAAAAACAAGAATTAATAAATATTCGTACATATTATTTATTCATACAAAAACGATTAATATATGTAACTTACATTGTTATTGACGACTAATGACCAATCAGGACAATGGCGAGGATAAATCGTGACATCCAATGTATGAAGTTGATTCAAATGATCAAGTAAATAAAGACAATCCATACTGCTGTCTAACCCAGGTGGATCATTCCGGCCGTCGGAAACGGCGTCGTATCCGGCCTGAAACGACTATAAAACGGCGAATTACTGCAGTAATTTTGGCCTTATTTCGCCGTAATCCGTCATACCGTATTACGACCACCGTCTATCGCTAGAAAACGGCGGTCGTTTTTTTCCGGTTTTGCTTCCGTAATCTGGTATGACGGATTACGGTGCCGTTTATCGACGTTTTACATCGTTAATCGCCGTTTTATAGCCGTTTCAGGCCGTTTACGACGCCGTTTTATTGGACCTGGGAATGTAACATGTAATTCTAATAGATTCGAAGAGAATTCAATAGAATATATTGTAGAAAACGTTAACTGTTCATAATCCGAAGATGATTTGAAATTAAAATATTTTAAATTTTTGAACATATTACAGATTTTCTCAAATATATATGTATTTATATTTCTAACATCAAAAACAAAAACATTTCTTCGTAATGCACCTTCTTTCATATAAAGAATAAGTGAGAATATTTGAAATTGATAACGACGAATGAAATAGCTTTGATCTAAATAAACATTTAAATTATTTTATTAAATTATTTTTTATAATATTAAAAAAAAACAAAATTATTTTATAATAGTAAATGTCGATGTAATAATGAAATTCTAATTATATAAAATATTTATTGAGATAGACTATTATCTTATATAAGTAATTATTGAAAGATTAGAATAAAGTATCTTACCACAAAGAAGAGGTATTCGTTTAGCAGGTGTTCCACCGTGAATTCATAGTAACATTCAAGCTG